AATAGCAGATTTTGGACAATCTTAAAATGGGCTAGTTTTGAAATAAGAACCAAATTTGAGCAAAATGACACACTCTACAGCAAGTGGTTCTGCAATTTAAAATTATCCTGTAGCTTTGTCTTTCTCCCAGAAAGAAAACAGGTACCCCAGGCCCTTTTGTCCTAAGCCAGTAACCCCCAGCAATTTCTCTAAGTTCCTCCTTTAAAAACTACTCCATCTTAAACTTGGTAGGAGGATGCAGCCCATGGGATTAAAAAAAGAAGTCCCCAGCGATCTGGTCTTTCTTTGCTGTGGGACAGCATTGCAGAGAATAGGCATTTGCCTCTAAGACAAGGGATTTTTCCTGTGACTGCTTCGTCCCAATGACAGCAGCATGGTATTCCTTTTCTAGATAATATGGTAGAGGAAGAGCCACCCACCCACTCCCCCAGCCTAGAAACATTTCCTGAGGCCCCAAGAAACAAATCCACGGATTCTTTTGCTTGCAGAGGACTTACTCATTTATAGAGCACACTCACATTCCTGGTCTCCTTCAATCTCCTAATAGCTCCCTATCCCAGTGTGAAGGATGAGGACATTTCAATGCAGAGGCCCAGCCAGCTGGTGTAGAGAGAGCTAGAACTGGAATCCACAGTTTGACTCTTCTCTGTCCCTTTTTGTCTATACTCGGGGTCCAAAAACTATGACCTGTGGGCCAACTCCGGCTGGCCTCCTGATGTTACAAATACAGCGCTGTGCATGTTGCTCACAGCACCTCCCTCACCCCAGTGGCAGAACTGCGTAGTTGCAACAGACGGCCCCTCAGATCCTACAGTATTTACTTCCCAGTCCTTTTCAGAAAAAGTTTGCCCGCCCCTGATGGCTGCTGAAGCTCAGAGATTCAAGGTTCTTCATGGAACAGTCACTTTCTTGAAGAAGAGGCAAGGGATTGGGCGATCCTGCTTGCATCGCTCTTCGTCACCCTGAGAGCTATATGATCCTGAAACCATCTGTAGCATTTTGGTCTAATTTGAACAACTCAGCTCTTGGGGCTCTCACGGAAATGTTTTGCCTTAAATGCTGCAAGAAGAAATCACATGACCAGAGTCGTTTTGTTTTGATGGTGTTCGCTGCCAGTAATGGAGTGGTTTTGGGATGGGGGGCAGCATGGATGAGTCAGCTGAATCTACCCTCTGCAGTTTCTTCTAGTTTTTGTCGGCAGGAAGACCATTTTAGAGAAGCAATGCTGGCCTTTTTCAGACAGGTTTAGTTCTGTAAACAAGAAGTTTCGGGGGTCGCCTGGGTGGCTCAGTTGGTTAAGCGTCTGCCTTCGGCTCAGGTGATGATCCTGGGGTCCTGGGATAGAGTCCCTCATCGGGCTCCTTGCTCAGCGGGGAGTCTGCTTCTCCCTCTGACCCTCCCCCCCCATGCTCTCTCTCTCTCTCATTCTTTCTTTCAAATAAAAAAAAAATCTTTTTAAAAAATTTAAAAAAGAAGAAGTTTTGGGTCGGTTGCAGTGCATGGGAGAAGAGATCCCATAATTCTTATGGCCCTGCTTCTAGACTATTCTTTCTCATGCTTCTCCATCTCCTTTAGGTAGTTTCCATGATCCTCTTCTCCTTCTACCCTCTTCACCTCATCGGTCTCCTCCATTCCATTGGCTCTCCCATCCCTTCTCTGAGGATTCCTCCCAAGTTGCTCCAATAGGTTTTTGTAGAAATGACCCCCATTAAGGCAATGTCTGCAAAGCCTAACACCAGAAGGATCTGTCTTCTTCTGGCATCCTAATTTATTCTAGAATTGTGCTAATTCAAAAACAAACAAACACCCTACAATATTTAAAAGCCACTTCCCAGCATTGTTTTGTTTTCTTAGGGAATCTTTGAACTTTTTTTTCTCCGTTTTTAATAACTTGCTGCATTGGCAGGTGCTGTTCAAGTCAGTGGAAGAACCACTTTTTCGAATTCCTTCTCTCCAGAGGTATTTCTACTCCCAGTCGATGTTGAAAAGGTGAACACAGCTTCTTTTTTCTTTTTTTAAAACCACAGAGAATGTTGATTCCTTGGATGGTGCTGTTGTGATTTAAATCTGGAAACTAAACTTGATGAAGCCTGGCGGATAGGTGGTTGCATTTCAGCCTCTGGCAGGAGCACTGAGCTAAGAAGGACTCTGAGTCAGTGCCTGTGCGTGGCTGGGAAGTTTTCCATGACTGATGCCTGATGTCTGCCCCTGGGCCACCACCAACCTGGGGTCTCATATCACGAGAAATTCAACTTGGGGTATCTGTTGGTCGCAGTGGAGTAAATTTTATGTGTCTGGGAGATATGGGCTATACTTCATATAATGACCTGTGAGCACTCAGTTAAGTGAACATTTATATTTCTATGGATTAACTCCACTTAAATACAGCTTCTTGATTTTTCAATCCAGTACACCCTCAATGAAAAACAGTCGACTATGCTTGTGAGTATTTTAACAGGTACTTTTTTTTTCCTGCAGGAAAACGCCCACTTCTATGTTGCAGATATGATTATAGCAGCAATGGAGAAAATTAAGTGCACCATCCTGAGTCAACAGCACACAGAGCACTGGGGTGTGGAAGAAGCCAGTGGGGCGCTCGGGAATGACCACGCTGACTCTGAAGTCACCTTTTACACCAATGTAAAGCAAGAATCTGGGTCTTCCAATTCTTCTGACAGTGGCTATGAAGGCAAGTGGGGCAAATCAGAGAAACTTTATGCTGTGTTCTCCACTTACATCTCTTTTCCTGTCACATCCCAAAGTAGATCTTCAAATCCTTTGTCTAAAACTTTCTAAAACTTCCTGAATAACCTGCTGCACAGCTCAACCCCGTCTTGCAGGACCCCGGGTCCACTTTCCCAGGGAAGAGCGCATGAGGGGGCCTGCTTTGATTGGGTGTCCCCAACTGGTCAGCCAGCCATGGCCAGGGGAGCGAGGGAATGTGATTGGATCATCGTCCCCCTGAGGCCACCAGTGGGGAGAAAAGAAATGATTCCTATTTCAGTATCCCATTTCTGTGCTTTATCTTTGAGTCTTTCTTTTTTGTGTGTCTGTTTTTTGGCCCCATTCCTAGTGAACAAGTCATCCCTGACTTCTGAGTAATAATGACACATCCCCTCCATCCGTTCCCTATCCACCTTTGACCTGGACCATCACACTAGCCTCTGGCCAGTCATTCTGTAAGAAGTGCCTTTAGGTCCTCAAGACACATGTGCTGCTTTAATTTTCTCTTTACTTGCAGCCTCTTCCCCTCATCGATTCCACACACATCTCTCTTCCTAGAACAACTTCTACTCCTCTAAAATGGCCTGCTGAGATTGCTCCATATTTGATTCTGGGATTTTTAGCCTTGTGGGATACAGCTTCCCAACAGGCATCTCCTGATCTATGTTGTACCGTGGGCTTTAGTTACACGAGCCTAGTAAACTTGCCCACAGACATTTCTCCCAAGCCTCTGCCTCCCACCCTTTGCTTTGGCTAGGCTCCCTGGAATGCTGGGTCCCCAGGAACTTCACATCAGTTCCTTGATTCTTCTCATTCTTTGCAAGCAGTCCCCCTCCACCAGCACTGTGATATGCTCCCAGGTTGCATCACAGGGCCAGGGCACCATTCATGTGGAATGAAGCCTAAGTTGTGCTCCAGAATGCTCTATGATTGTCTGCGTGCATGCGTCACTCCCTCCTGGAGTTGTGCAGCATGGGGGCTTGCCTTCTTAAGGCCCATGGCATGCAGTTGTGTCTTCTCATGGTTATGTGTGTCTGTGTCTCAGCTCCCTTACGAGGTTTTAAACTCTTTGATGGATAAGCATTTGTCTCATTTGAATTTGCCTTCAGCATAAGCCTTGCCAGAAATAGTATTTTAGAGATATTTGTTGAATGGCTGAGTGGAAGCTCATGTCTAGCGGAAATTTTTTTTAAAGATTTTATTTGAGAGAGAGAGAGTGAGCATGAGCAGGGGGAGCATGGCAGAAGGAGAAGCAGACTCCCCGCTGAGCAGGGAGCCTGGTGACATGCAGGACTCCATCCCAGGACCCCAGGATCATGACCTGAGCTGAAGGCAGACGCTTAACTGACTGAGCCACCCAGGTGCCCCTGAATATTTTTAATATGAATATAAATATGTTAAATGAAATTTTAAAATATTTCTACCACCCCAATAAAAATATGCATTTTTTAATCACATATCTCTCTTGTGACATTTCTCGTGGTGGATATTACTCCTTTGAGGTAGGTCAGCATACTTTAAGTTACAGGTTGGTCTTGAGAGCTTTTAAAAAACAAACAAAAAGAATAGAAAGTATCAGCATTCAACTCACTTAGAAGGAGCCGTGCTTCCTGGAACTTTTTTTTTTGAATCAGTGAAATATATTTTTGTGTTTGTACTGAGTTGCAATGCGAATGTATGTTATTGTGGATCGTGGTCAAAAGAGGGCGGGGAAATACAGAGGTGGGTGAGGTTGCCCTATCATACCCAGGAGGAAACCAAAGCTGAGAAGTTGATTGTCCACAGTCACCCAGCTAGGATGGGGCAGTGTTGTTGGGGTTTTTTAAATTTTTTTTTAAGATTTATTTATTCATCTTAGAGAGAGAGCACTTGTGGATGAGCAGGAGGGGCAGAAGGAGAGGGAGAGAGAATCCCAAGCAGACCCTGCACTGAGCACCGGAGCTGGATGCAGGGCTTGATCCCAGGACCTGAGATCATGACCTGAGCTGAAACCAAGGGTCGAGTGAGATGCTTAACTGACTGCACCACCCAGGCAGTGCGGTTTTAAATCCTGGCCAGTTCCCTGTGAAGCGATTTCATGTAACCTCTGCATGACCTTGAGTACAGTTTCATTGTGATTACATACTCGTATTAATTAATAATATGATTACATTATATTAACAGTATTTCATATCCAGTTTGCCAAGTTGCTACAGTTTTCACATTTTTCCGTGATGGTATTTCTGGAGTTAATAACATGATTTGCGATATCAATTTACTATTATTTGGCATGTAGGTAGCTTTCAGTATTTTAATATTTTAAATGGACTGCAGCTAGCTCCTTCTGATCAAAGCCTGACTTTTTCACCTTTTTTTTTTTTCTTTTTAATGACATTCTTAGGATAATTCCCCAGGCTAGCTTTCAGGATAGAAAAACATGGATATATTTGTAGTAGTTTCCTTAGGTTGCTGTAACAAAACACCACAAACTGGGTGGCTGAAAACAACAGAAAATGTATTTTCTCTCAGTTGTGGAGGCCAGAAGTCAACAATGAAGTTGTTGGAAGGGTTGGTTCTTTCTGGAGGCTCTGCGGGAGAACCTGTTCCATGGCTTCTGGTGGTTACCGCCGGTCCCTGGTGTTTCTTGGCTTGTAGACACATCACTCCTGTCTCTGCCTCTGTCTTCACGTGGCCTTCTCTGGATGTCAGTGTCTGTGTCCAAATTTCCCTCTTTATAATATAACCAGTCATAATGGATTTAGGGCTCACCCTGAACCTATATAACCTAAGCTTAACGATCATATCTAATTCCTCAAGACCCTAATTCCAAATAAGGTCACATTCACAGGTTCTGGGTGGATATGAATTTTGGGGGGACACCTTTAACCTAGTACAATGTTTATGTCACCTCTACTCTTTGACTCACCGTGAAGCTGATTTTCACCCTCTTTCATTTTTTTAAAACTTTGTATTATGGAAAATTTCGAACACACATAAAAGTAGGCAGCTTACTCTTATGAACCCCCTCATCATCATAGATCCTCATCCGTCTGTTTCATGTAATCACAGTGAATGGAAGAACAACACAAAAATAGCTCCCTGCATTTTTTAATTCTTAAAGCTGGATTTTTAAACTCTTTGGATGTAAACTCTTGGCCCATTTTATTTCCTGGTTTCTAATTAGTTGGCTGTGACAGGTTTTCTTTTTCTTCTTGTTGGTGAAACCCCCTTCATTTCCTTTTCTAGGTTGTGCGGTGCTACAGGGCAGCCCCGTGGCTGGGACACCCACTTACTGTGATGTGCTGAAAGAAGCCTGTAAATGTGACTTCGATGACTTTGTTATCATAGGTAAGATTTGGAAACTCACCAGCGATGGCTCGTACTTCCCCTCCCACACACATATGGACACGCATCCCATGCGGTACCACGTTATAATGGCTTTCAAAGAAACTTCTCCCAAGATCAGATTATGTCAGATTAAAAAAAAAAAAAAAAGATGTTCTTATTCCAAATGTCTTCATAATCAATCTCTCATCTCACTTGTAGAATTGAATGCAAAAGCAGATACTCATTATAGTCTGAGATCTGTTTGGCCTCTCAATTAAATTTTGGTGGAATTTCAGGTGAGTGTATTTTGAAATCCCATCTTTGGTCATTAGCTGTAGTCTTGTAATAGAAACCCAAAGAACCTGAAGTATGGAGATGCTGAAGAACTAGTTCTTTCTGAGATGCAGGGATTTATTTTTGTGTTCTTATAGAATTGAGTGTGAGTTAGTAAAACAGACTGAAATACTTTAATACCTTTTCTTTGATTTACTTGCAGAACTTGGTGAGTTTAGCAGCATCACAGAAACCTGTGGATGTTCCTGCAGCTCCTCTAAGAGGTATCTCTCCTCCGTGTCCACCTGCCCCTAGACCCCTGGGCCATCACCTCCGATATATATATATATATATATATATATATATATATATAGTGTTTAAAGGCCTTTGTATACATTCTAATTTAATCAGGCTGGGTGGTTTTTAACCCCATTTTTATAAATGTGGAAACTGAGGCTCAGACTAAATGTGCCTCAGGACATAATGCTGTTAAATGAGCAGAGATAGGACTTGAACTCAGGTCTTCGGGCTCCAAATCCAGTGCTCGTTTTACCACATTTCCCAGTCTTGGTACCCTCCATAAATAAAAGGGGCTGTGTTGAGTAAGACAGCCAGTGGGTGGGTGGTGCATGCTCCCTCATGTGACACCTCTTCTGAGTTTTTGGAGTGGGAAGGATGATTGAAAACATGAAGACTCATAACATACTCCTCACGAATGTAGTTTTCCACTTTTTGCATCTCTTACCTTTCAGTGTCATTTATGAGCCAGACTTCAGTTCTGCTGAGCTAATAGCCAAAGAGTTGTACCGAGTATTCCAGAAGCGCTGGATGTTGTCAGATGTTAATCATCAACTGGCAGATTCTCTAAATGCTGCTGGCTCGATAGTAAGTATCAAAATGAGTTGGCCTTGAATTGAAAGTTCCTAAACTCTCGTCTTTCCTGCTGTTCACTTCAGACATTTATGCATTTCTTTGTATGGTCACTGGGTGTTGGGGGAGACATGAAATGAAGGATGAATCTGACATTTATTGAGTGTTGATTATGCGCCAGGGAATCCAGCATTTCACATTTTCATCATCAGTATCCTCTTAAGTAGACGCTGTCGTTATGTTTACTTTAAAGTGTTAGTTCCAGCCTCTCGGCAGGGCTGGTCAGTGGAAAAGCAGGAGTCATGCCCATCCTGGTCCCTTGTAGACACACCGCCCTCTGACAGCGCACATCCCACTGCGGGGAGAGAACTTCGCGGCAAAGCTAACCTAGGGGTAGGAATAAAGCACTCTGCAAGTGCAGAGAAGGGGTGTTTAATTTTATCAGGGGATTTGAGAAGGCCAATTGGAGATCTCAGGACTTGAAAACGGTAGCAGGTAGAAACACATGGAAGGGGAGCTTGGCAAAGGGCAGCAGGAGTAAAAGTGATGGGGGCGGGGCGGTGGTGGTGGTGTGTGGTATGTTTATTGAGCAGGGTGGCTTGGTGTGGTTGATAACGTGTGTTTTTGTGTATCCGTGTTGAGCTTCCTGGGAGATTAGGTTTGAAGGATTGGTCACATTGTGGAGGACATAGAATGCTACTTTGAGGAGTTTGCATGTTAAATGCAAACAAGAAAGTTGAATGGGTCAGAGGGAAGCCACTGGACATTTTTAAGCAGGGGAATGATCTTAAAAGAGCAGTTTCGGGGGAAGTCTGACAACAGCTGGGGGTTCTGGTGGGCAGCATCTGGCAGCCTGTGGACTAAGAGCAGTAAGGCTTCTGCTGTGAATAAAAGCATTCCGGTCACAATGACCTACTATTTACAGTAATCTGAAGTCTGGAAACAAATGAACTCCCCAAAATACTAAGAAAAGTGATTTCAGCTGGATGGTGTTTCAAGCAAGTCTTCTGCAGATGGCTTTAGATACAGGGAGGGCTCCTTTCGTTCAGTTGAAAGCAGTTTTAATTTTTCATGGCAAATTTTAATGCTGGAAACACATTTGAATGTTCTTTTTCTTTCAGTTCCTGAAATATGCTTGTTTAGGTTGCTCTGCAATCCTCTTCTGTGTTATGCAGGTAGTGAATGAAGAGCGGGTCCAAAAAGACTTTGAATCCAGTGTGGATGTCGTTCAGGAAATTACCCTTAAGTCGAAGATCAGAGGGGCTGAAGACTGGGAGCCCCCCAGATTTCAAATCATATTTAATGTTCATCCACCACTCAAGTAAGTCTGGGTTGTTATGTGGGCCTCCAGTCCAGGTAACAAGGTGTGCTGGGTCCCACCTCTTTGTGGAAGTAGGTGAAGGGAAGAAAATTACACACCGAGGGATGAAGGAAAATTTGTTTTAGGAATAAGGAAAGTTGGGCATATTTTTCTGAGTTAGCTTCTTAGCTCCCTGTTTATCATGGGTTTTGGGGGGCTCTGTAAGTTTGACAAGTTGAGAATTTAACTATTTCCTTAATTATGTACATTACATAGCAATTGAAAATTAAGTAGGTTTAAAGGGGATTTTTTTTAAGTGGCTAATATTGAACCTTAAAAATCATAAACAATAATTTTAAAAGACCACTCTATTCACCAGTACAATGTGAAAGAAAAATCAATGGATAATTTTTTTTAAAAGGGAAACTCTAATCCTGAGGAGGGCTCCTAATAGTTAAAAAATGCAACAGGATGCAAATAAAAATACCTTTGTTCTCTAAGAAGTAACAAAATCCTGAAAGACAAAACGACAAAAGAGGATGCAAAAGAAAAAAAGAAATAAACTCATTTTTATAAATGTATATGTATAAATAAAATATATAATAATTTAAGGTAGAAGTTTAATTTGTTTCTGAGAGTATATGACATTACAAGGGGACATTTTAACCAACTACAATTTCTCCATTCCTCTTGGCTTATATTTAGTGTGTTCCCAAACTGCAGCATAAAGAAGGGACTGGCAAAGGTTCTTGCCTTTGCCCCATGTAAGTGCCCTATAGGCTCTGTCTTGTGTTTTTCTTTTGAGAGAATGACAAAAAGGTCTCTGCGGTGCTTGGGCAGAAGAGCTCCTTCTCCAGACTTGGGGTGGGGTCACTCTCCTTAGCCAAGGCTATCTTTTCTCGAGAATTTCCCTATATCCTCTCTAAGGGAGACAGGTAGGGGTCCACACAGTTTTACGTTGGTCATTTCTGCTGACCCTAAGTTGTAATAAAATTTTGCAATTTCCTTCGTATTTCCAAATCACATATGAAGTTGTGGTGTCAACAGTTCAATAGAAGACACTTCAGTAGACTATCGCTCACCAAATATGTTTGATACTTAGGTCTTACATGACCTCTTACTCATCCAAGTTTCTTTGGATCCATTTGTGAACTTCCCGGGCACATCACCTCTTGGTGTTTCATCTCCCTGAACTTTCTCCCATGCGTTGTGTGTTTCCAGTTTTCTCTGGTGGGGGTCCTGTGCATGCACAGTGAGCAGTCTCTAAAGATCCCATGGTGGAATAGTTATTCATGATACTGACTTCGGTTTTGGTGATAGCAGGGGTTTTTAAAAGGCCCAGAGATCTCAGAATAAACAAACAAACAAATAAATAAATAAAAATAAATAATAAAATAAAAGATCCAGAAATCTCAACTAGAAAACTCTATTGAAGAATGCTATTTTTTTCCCAAATGAAAAATGACAAAATTAAGGCCCCGAGCCAAGAAAAGCACCATGATGTCAGTTTCTTTTCCAGTCAGTGAAAAATGCTCCACTGGCTACTTCTGAACTGTAACTGTGATCATTTTCTGTACTCAGGAGGGAATTCGTGGTAGCAGCCCAGAATTTTTTGTGTGCTGGTTGTGGAACTCCAATAGAACCTAGTAAGTATGAGCAGTGGATTACCTGTTGAGTATGCTGTGACGGGGGAAGAATAGCAAAGTTGGAGAGTACACTGTTTTTGTGAACGATGCCTTTGATGAAGTTGTTACAAGAACTTCACAATACTGCCCTCTCTTTCATGAAGAGGCCATCGTGACCTATATATAAGGCTACATGGCTGGCCTGTTACCTCTTGGACCATCTCCTAGTTCTCTCCCCATTGAGCACTCAGCTCCAGCCACATGGCCTCCCTTCTGGTCCTTGAAGGAGGCAGGCTCACTCCTGACTTAGGGATTTGCATTTCTGCTTTTCTCGCCCTAGAATGACATCCCTATGGCTGGTTCCCTTACTTCCTGCACATCTTCACTCAGAATTTACAAGGTTTTCCCTGGCTGCCCTATTGAAAATGTCCACCTTGCCACACTCCTGGCCACAAACATACACGTGTACACTTTACCCTTCCTTATTTTTCATTCTAGTACTTATCTTCCTAAAATACTCTTTTAGATTCTACTAATTTTTCTTATCATTGGTCTGTGTCCCTGTCTAGATTCAAAGTTCCATGAGGACAGACATGTTGTCTGTTTTATTCATTGCTCTATCCCCTGCTCTTTCAAGAGCACCTGGTGCACAGTTTCCTCAAAAGAGACTTGTTCCGGGCGCCTGGGTGGCTTAGTCGGTTAAGCGACTGCCTTCGGCTCAGGTCATGATCCTGGAGTCCCGGGATCGAGTCCC